AGTGCTCCAGGGGGAAATTGTCGTCTCCTGGGGGGGGGGGGGGGGGGGGGGGGGGGTGCGCGCACACTCATTTAATCAATTCATCATCCCCCCAAAAGCTAGCAAAACATGATTTAAATTAACACATGTAGTTTTGCAGCAGTCTGCATAAAAATTTACGACTTTTTCTAATGATGCTTGGACTGAAAAGAGAGAGGAAGCTCTGTTGTGCAAGGAATTACTCTGAGCGCTGAACATGTTTAAGTTGTTTACAAAACACCAATTTCCCCGTCTGTGGCTGCCACAGTTAGGGACGTATTTGTCATCTACGAAGGTGTTTCCTCTAAAGTCAACCCAAGACACTCTATAGAAAGGTATCGGCTTCAAGCCCACAGCGTTAAAACACGTGGCTCTAGTAGCATTTGCTTTTCAGGTCAACTTTTAGTTTAGTTTTGGTATTTAATGCTATATGGGGAGAGCTGTGATAAGAGAGTTTCTTCTCTTTTTCGTTATCCTCAAAACCTCCTCTCCCCCCTAGTGAATACCCTGCGTCTCAAATCGGTGAGTTAGGTGCAACCTCCCTTGTGTTGAGAGAGAGCAGAACGGTTTTTTTCCCCCAGATCAAGTTCAACATAAACGCACACAACTGAATGTCCTTTCTTGCTACTACTGCAAAGTACTGTTACTCAACCAGATAAACTGATTTTTACGACTAAAATTCTGAGCACCAAAATGATAAATGTGTTCCAGTTTGCGGTTAAACATGTATGCACTCAAGCTTTGGGAGTTTTTAATTAATAAAAATGTATTTGCGCTTTAATGCCTGTGCAGTCTGATTGGAAAAAAAGGCGAGTGAGTGGTTGAAGGGACTTGTGTCAGTAACTCGTTGTTGTGCGGACAAGATTCACCAGCTGAGCGCTTTGTACGATAACGGAAGGTTAGCCTGAGCCAGCAGTAGTTTATATAACCTGACTGTAACCAGTGTGGCTGGAAATTAAAGAATTATTGATCTGAAAAGGGTCCGTAACTGAAGTGTATGCCAGTCTAAATCAAGCTGTTCTGTGTAGTCTTAGAAGAACAGAATAAAACTTTTACAGAAAATAACAGTAAAGGTGATGATGGGCGACAATGAGTTACAGCAGTAACTTAGACCATGGCAATTATTAAATACCATGAGATTTGGTATTTAATCATTTTTTAGGGAAATACAAAGTTATATACTAAGGTTCTGCTGCAAATACTCCTCATACATGCCTTAGCTATTTAAGCAGTTACTGTTTCTTTGACCTCCTGGTGTACCAGGCTTTTGCCTTTCAGAAACAGCTGGGTCTGTTAAGAACCATTTCCAGTTCCACACAAGGTGGATCGTATGACTCTCACTTTATCACCCCTGGAGGCCATCTCAAGGACAAAGAAAAGAGATACACTCAAAACTAATGTTTTTATATGGGTGGGAAGGATTGCACCGTGGTCTCGTGATGAACACAAGAGAACGGGCTGATTAGAACCTGAAACCCTTCTGCTCCCTTCCATCCTGATTTGCTGTTTCACACATTATTTCACTGGAACTAGACGTTCCTCAAGCCGCCTGAACTTTTGGCAGTCTTTCACCCAGCGGTGGGAGAGGGAGTGGTTTTCAGCTTTCACAGCCTCTGGAGACAAAGATTCCTATTTATGCGTCCTGATACACATCAATGCCACTAGGCCTACGCTTCTAAAAAGAAAGGCCATGCTGTGGGCAGAGCTCTTGCGTGCACACCCTCAGGAAAATTTTAAATACTTGTGAAAATATTTAAGCTTTGTTGCTTTATAGTGAACTGTTACAGTGTAGGTAAACTGCTAAACTGTACTCACCACCGATAACATTACAATTGCTACTCCAGAGCGCCTTCTTTATTTTGTCTCGGCTGCCACAGGTATAACTTGGCTGTGGTTACTTTTTCCACAACAAATAAAGCTGGAAAAACTGAATAAATGCACTCAGCTTGTAGAGACTTCATTTGCAGTATTCCTAAGTCACACAGTTGGGAGTTCCCAGAACAGCTGATTCACACACTCGCAACCCATGCTGCAGAGACAGCCCCAGAATGTGCTAATGTCAATGACAGTTTGGTATGTGACAGAGCGCAGTGAGGTCAGGGGAGAAGCCTTTAAACAAGGAGGGGTTTGCTTTTTTTTTTTTTTAATATATATATATAGTGTGTCAGAGCAGAATTAAGAAAAAAGGATAGACTGACTCCTAATTAAACTCTACTACCATGAATGGTTTTGTGATTTATTTTCTTACTACATGCTTTGTTATGTATATAATTATTCCATCAATTTGTATTCTCTGAACTATTGGCATTGGAGGCTGTACTGTGCAGAGGGAGAAATTGCAGAGTTTAGTTCAGTTTACATCTGCAAATTACTATGCAATAGGGGGTGTTTTTCGTTGGGGGTTTTTTTCTCCTTTTTTTTTTTTTTTAAGAGCCTAGTACCTGCTTTCAAACTGCACTGCAGAACCTCTGCTATCATTTCAGTAAAACCAAGATTTTTTTGGCTTTTCAGTCCTGTTAGAAACAGTTGGCGAGAGTCATAAGACTACACTAGTGTTAAAACCAAATCATAGCTGCTGATCTGCAGCAAAGGAAGAAATGTATTCCAACCCGCCGCATACACAAGGACCTTTCCCTTTCCAAATGTCACAGCCTCTGCTTCTGCGCCCAGGACTAACTTTGGTGCATCTCTCTGGCTTGTGCAACGCTTCAGCATTCTGCAACGATTGCTAGCGTGGAAAATAACACATACTGTAATACAAGAAAACCAAAAGCCTGTGGGTGAACTGAAGCTGCTACAGAATTGCTGTCTGGATGTGCTACAGAACTTGGGTCCGTCTTGTGGCTGAGCACAGAGGTCTCCAGCCAGCGATGCTGCCGGAAGGTTGAGTTTTCTTCCCTACAGTCTTAGCTGAAGAACCAAGCGCTCTGCTTAGATCACAGCATCCGGAGCGCGCCTCATGCTGACACACAGCCTTGCGCAACAGCCTGGATGAACGGCAGCGTGCTATATGAAACAGCGATGGAGGACAGTGGCTTGCCTACACAAGACAGTTTATATCATAAAACCATTCAGCAAGACAACTCGAGAGCCACCAGTCAAGAGTTTCTACTTAACCTGCAGTACTTCACTCACTCAGGCTTTTTGTGCTAGGAAATGTGTAAACTTAATGCTAACAAAACAGTTTGCTGTTTTGCTAATACAGCCGGGGTATTTTAGCATTAATTCAAAATTTGGTCCTTTATTAGGTATTTTAAGTTTACAAATGGTAACAAAAGTATTACACGTCTGAAGAAAACACACCAAATCACATTTCCAAGTGCTCTTCAAAATACTTCTCCTTTAAAACAGTCTTTGATTATTTTGTGTTTAAATATGCATAATGTGTTTCCTGCTTTTCATTAGGTTACAGGAATTGTATTACATCACAAACAGGTTTACCTGCAACGCCAGACACCGTTCACTGAAAATACTCTGTCCTTTCACAGTTTAGTCCTTGATCTTCATGGGTTGATTAACTGATTTTCTTCTGACTTCTACTATTCTTTGAGTCCCAGAGTAAAACAACATTAAAATACACCAAAAATAATAAAAAGTGTAAGCAAGAAATAACGGACACAGATACAGGGAATAAATCCGGTAACCTCTGTGGAGGATGCACGGCAGCGCTCATTACAGACAGGACGCCCATCAGGGTTACGGAAAGAAGAAACTGTAAGATAAGGAATGATATATTAGCTAATGGTGATTTAGCACCTCAAACGAGTAAGCTGTTACTGTCATTACTTGGGTGCCCTGTATTCTTCAATCTATACATAGATGACATTGCAGAAAAAAATTATAGCACGCCTCTACACTGAAATAGTGTGGCTTTCCCTGTTTGGGGCTTTATACACTGTTATGGACATAAAACTGGTTTATGCAAGTACTTCAGTACCATGAAGAGCTCAAGTAAGAGTTATAGGAATTAAAATTGCTTACCAGACTCCTGACAATCTTGGGAAATGACTTAAACCAAGAAACATATCCCTTCAGGGAAAGGGAGAATGGCTTCAGCTGCAGGTCCTCTGCTGAAGTCTTCTCAAATATGGAAAAGGAAGCCACGCAGACTCATCCTTCAGTAGAAGAGGCAACATACTGTTAAAACAGAATTACCCACAGAAATGAGTGTGCATTCCGAGTTATATTTCAAAGAATGTAAAAAGAAGAGGAAAAAGAATACATTTATTTACTACAATTGGCGAAGAACGCAGTTTTAAAATAACGTTAATAGTGTCCAACTCACCTGAAAGTTGACACAAGTAAAAACCACGTAGCCATAAAAGGGATTTCATTTATGATTAAGCAGACTGGTCTAGAATGAAAACAGGAAAGAGACATGCAAACACTGAAGTGACGGCACTTTGTCCCCTCAACCTTTCACGTGGGTGCTGCACTCCCACTCCTCTGGGAGGCAGGGCAGAGCTCTGCCCACTCCCCACTGCCACGGGCTCAGAAAGTCCAGGAACAGGCAGCGCCCATAGTGCTGCATCCTCTGCTGGGGCACCCCGCTCCCCCCTACACCCCACTGAACCCCAACGTGCAAATACTCTGCCCTGCACGGGGTTCTGCAGCAGGAGAGCTGCTCAGCGGAACGCCTACAGTGCGTACCATTGGCACGCACAGCCAGCCAGGTTAGCGCCCGCTCTGTGCAAGGCTTCTTGTTGGCTCTGAGGAGCAGCTGTACTGCAGCTTCTAGACAACTGCCTGTAGAGGTAACAGGAGTTCTCTAACCACCAGTTTAGCCTCCCTGTCAGGCATGAACGAGAAGTGTTAAGAGGGCTGCCTCTCCAAATCTTCCTTTATCAGACGTTACATTTGAGTACACGTAGGACATCCATGCAGAAGAGCAAAGCTGCTGACTGCCCCTGCTGCCCTCACCAACTTTGGGTCAGGGGATGGGAAAAAACATACCTTAACGACAAAGGGAGAGAAGGCCCCTCTGCCGATGCTGTTAGCGAGGTGTCTGTCACCCAGTTCAACTTACCCCTGGGCTCCAGCCTTGCTGGGCAGCTACGTGCAAGACACTGCTGTCTACGGCAGCATCACCTTAACCAAGCCCACAGCCAGGCTATCCCTGGACAGGCAGCTGTGCCCTGTGCCACATCGTACTCCAGGAAACACAGTCAGAAAACTGGCCCGGAGATGAATGAAGCAGGAGAGACCAGCACGGCTGCATTTATATACTTCCATTTACAAGTTACTCAGAAAACCATTTACAAGTTACTCAGAAAAGCAAATGTGTAGAGTTTTTAAAATCAGATATATTTGTAAGTAAGAAAGCAGCATGCAATAACAAGATGAGGAAAGGAAGATCAAAATATATCCACAGAAAAATAATTTACTTACACTGACACTAGAAGAATAGATTTTTCATGTACTTGAAAGGAGAACAGGAAAAATGACAATGCACAACTAACCTTAGAAAAGGAAAGCAGACATGTATTAGTATATGTGACTGCAATGCAAAACCCTGTTTTAGTTTCTCTGCTGGCATAGAATTTACATGGAGTGTATGAGCTAAATGATCTGATTTTTCTAATTAACTGCTACATTTACTCCAGTGCAATTTACAAGTACACAGAGCTGCTTCTGTAACCACCTATATATACACTAAAAAATATATTGTTTGAAAGTTTACCCAGAATTATTCAGAAAGCACTTCATGTAAAGAGCTCTCGCTCTTGCTTACCTCTACTGATAGGAGTATACCCACCAAGTAAACACAATATTCACACACATAAGCAGTGGCAAAGTTCAGTCACAGTGAGAACTACCCACCTTTTTGACATAAAATTTTGCTCATTACCATGAACAACCAATACATCAAAATAAACAAACTGTCTTTTTTTTCCCACCAAATAAAAACACACTGTAAGATATACACCAATTCTTAGAAAGGATAAATGTTAGTTTTAGGCAATGTTGCAATAAACTCTCAAACAGTACTCACATAAAATTAAAAATAGAAATTATCTTGTAACTCTTGAAACCTTAGGACCAGCTCCATATAATTTTGATTTCAAGGAAAACTGATTTTTGCATGTAAGTCATGTTAATGTGCTTAAATTCAATGATATATGACGACTAAGGAAAGGCAAATATTTGGGAAAATAGTATCATTTTCTTTTCAAACTGCTAATGAGGTTACAATGTCCATCTTGGGACTTTTTTATTGAATTTTGCAGCCAATGCAGTAAGGAAAACTAGCACTTTGGAAGCTAAACAAAAAGAGGAGAAATTCCAACTCTATATGAGGCTTTAATGTGTACAGAACCTTCTAAAGACTCTTCAGAGGAAGATAATAAAAATACAGCATTAAATAAAGAAAATTGAGGCTAAGGAGAAAAGACAGGTCAGACTCCCCTGGACACGTGATAGCAAAACACTTGTTAACCAACCTCTTCAGCAGAAACAGAACAGCATTTAATGGTACATGCACTTCTGCACATTGCAGCAACTGTAAGTAGAACTGTTGGTCACACACCAGTGCTGGATACAAAATAAGGAGCGATTAAAAATATACACTTACCAAAGCAAATTTAAATCCTCGGAGAGAAGGCTGGACGGTTAGTTTTATACAAGTAGGAAGCAGGCTCAGGAATGTTACAGCAAAACTAAAGAATTTTGTAAGAAAAAACAGTTTTAATACCTGAATAACTACACCCATGATATCATATAATCACTTGTGAAAACTATGTAAGTTAGGAATTCAGCTGTAATTTTCAGAAGTACAAAATCACTCCAGGAGACTCAATCACAAGAGAAGAGCACTGAATGGTCTTCACTGACATAAGCGCTTCTGAAAAACGAATAAAGCATTTCCATTAATACTTCAGACTCTGTAGACCTAGACTTGAATTCTCCACTTAGTGAAAAACCAGACCTGTGAACTCTGACTTCTAAAAGCACTAAAAGAGGTAATTCTTTGAAGAGGAAAGCATGCAAATTTTAACTCAGTTTTAACCAACCAAGTAGCTTAAACCACTACATAAACAAGCAGGAAATTTTTCAGTCATAAATATTCCTAACACTTGGAGAAACTCTTATTGCTTGGGAGAAAAGTACAGTACAGGAAAGAAAACGGTTTTTCAATATTTTAAACGCCACTTCTCATAATTCTTTGACAAAAATTACTCATTTTGCAAAAAATAATGCAAATAAAAAACTACCTAAAGCACTTCAGTTATGTCTTACCTGAGTTTTAGTTGAGTTTGAGGTGATATTATATTCTTTATCTTTATAAGGACACTTAAACTGCACCAAATATTGGCTACTTTATCCTGGAATGGAAAAAAAGGTAATTAGTGATAATTACATTCATTTAAACTTATGTTTGTGACAATAATGGGGCTTGGGAGGTGGGGGATTGTTGGGTGTTTATCATGATACTGCAAAAAGACACTTGCAAATATACAGCATATTCTTAGATGTACTTTAAATTATTCTGATCTTCAAAAATGTAAAGTCTCAAGAGACTCAACTAAAACATGTTCTAAAATAACTGAGAAATCGTTCTTCAGCACAAGAGACTACTTCTTAACTCATGAGATCACACATTTTGTGAAAATAAGGCTCTGAAGCTATCTGTCCCTGATTAAACACTGGCATATATGAATCTTTCTTCAAATGTGAAGACGTTCTGTATACTGTCACATTTCATTACATACCTGAATGTATTTAGCTGTGCTTACTGCTTGCTAGCAATGACAGAGTTAACCTCTAATAAATCAAGAAGTCTAAAGACATTAGCAGTTGTGCTAGGATCACTTTCAAAATTAAATTTGTAACTACAGCTATCATGCTCATGAAACTCATCCCTAAACAGCTGCTTGAATCACAGCTGTGTAGACATAACAGCAAGAAAGCTACTAGCACCAACAACTGAGCCATCTTCCTCATATGCTCACTAGCAATACAGAATATGCACTTCAAATCTGCTGAGGATTACAAGTGAACAGAGGGTTTGGCAGCACCCGCAAACACACAGGACGCCTACTTAATAGCCAATACGATTTTACAACCATCAGCATTTGTTACTGCTTCTGTAAATGGGAACCAATTCAAAGAACCTGTTACATGCACCCCAGTATAAATTTACTGCGCATTGCTTACGTGGACAATTTCTCATTTTATCTAGATTAGCATCCAGCAAGTCACTCCCCTGATCAACTCAGAAAATATTTGGGCTAATATTAGACTAAAATCCTTAAGCTCTTTCAGACTCACTGGTTATTGTCTTTTACAGATTTTATTTTTAAACTTTGTACTGAATAAAAAGTGTGGTGGTCAAAACTATTTATTTCTAAATTCCAGATAATTCCCAAGGAATAGGGTTTGTTTGGGTTTTTTGTTTGTTTGTTTGTTTTGGTGGGTTTGGGGGGGGGGTGGTGTCTTCTGCTGGGGGGGTGTTTGGTTTTTGGGGTTTTTTTTAAATAAACTAGCAGAGGATACACTGAGAACTCTTCTGTACCGCTGCCTAAATAAAATGCGGCCTTTGGTACATCAGCATTAACTTTTGAAGAAAAGTGCCAGTCGTGATATTATTTATATCTAAAGAAGATTAAAAAAAAAATTAAGATGAATCAAACTATGTAAGCATTTGCTTAAATGCCTGTGACACCAAAACTGAAAATTCAAAGCTTTGTTTTATTGGTTAAACTTGAAGTTGAGAATCTGCTTCTAAAAGTATAATATTAAAGACTCCTGCCCTAATTAAGCAAAACAAAAACAACAACTCACTGTTACTTGGGAAATGAGTACCCTTTCTTTAATCACTGAGACTCCTGTGGCATTAGCATTAGGTAAATGAGTAATTGCTTTACTGGATTAAGGCTGCAGTACTCAGCACCTTGCAGCATGCAAATATTGATAGCCTGAGGAAAAAATAAAAGCAGAACTGGCCTAAAACTTTTGCAAAATATTGTGAAAACTTGCACTGAAAATACAAGGTGGGTCAAAAAGGAAGTTCTAGGCTGCACCCAAAACACTATTTTTTTAATTTTTTTTTAAAACAATGAATCCTGTTGAAAATAGCTGAGCAGAACCAAAGACAGAGACTGAAGCTGTTAGCTTTTAAGGTTACATCTTCTGACACTGTCAATTACTATGGAATCCATTTCAATGGAAAAATGTATGGATTGAAGTATGGGTTTGATGATGGGATAAGTGTTGTCTACTCATATAATATCCTGGAAGATGCCAGCTGAGCTGGGGTTAAATACTGGATTAAATAACTGGCAAGAAATGACTGCTGAAGAAGCCATCTCAAATTACTAGTTCTGTGGTGTGTCTCCCACATGAAATCCCTAAAGGTCACGATGAAGGTTTCTCAAGGGATCTAAGAATACAGAACATTTACAGTGGGGCGGGGGAGAAGAAAACATGCATGCCTCAAACAAGCCTCGGTCAATGGGAAAGAGTTTGTTCCATGTCGGTACAGAACGGCAGCCAGCAGACAGCAAAGGAAACCACCACTGTCCCTGCTATTTTAGTTAACAATACTAATCTGCAATCAAGAGAAAAGCTTACATCAGAAAAGATAAATCCAGCTACTGGTAACAAAAGTCAGTTCTTATTTTATAGCATAAACCTTTTTCTAAAAGAGATACAGAACTGAAGGTAACAAATCTAAACGTAAAGAGCTACCAGTACCACAGAAAGTTCATCATCCCCAGATTAGTGAGAACTCCATGAGAACCACAGAGCTACTGCTGTCAATCTAACCAGGTTGCCCACTGCAGCCCAGATTTAAATTTAGCTTACAGAATGAAGAGTGCTAAGAAAGGACACCTTAACAGATTTTGCTATTTGTTCAGTGGAAATACTTAACGTAGATCTCAACAAGAAACGTTTATTTCGCATGAGAGGAATACATTACAACAAGGCAAGTACCTTCCACTAGAAATTAATTCAGAAATGACCACATGCAAATAAGGAGAATCACATTCTCGATGCCAGGCTGCCTGGACATATTCTTGAGAAAGATAAAATCGTCTAAAGTCACTTACCCCTTTCCTTTCAGTCCCTTCTTGAAGCACTTTCCAAGTAAATAGCAAAAAAAGGGCAGAGAATGGTAGAGTTCCATTTGCTTATAATTTAAGGCCAAGCAAAATGCTACTGACCCCAAAAGGTCCCAATCATAAGACAAATAAAGTACACCCCACAAGGCAAAGCCAAGGCTTACTGAGTTGTATATGGTTTTTTATGTCAAGGACAAGATACACATCTTAGTACTAGGAGTCAGTAATGAATGCCCTGAGGGACAAGCGTAAAATAGCACACAAAATAAGTTTTTCCACATTCATTTTAAAAACACATTGCCAGTTGTGACTATGTTGTTTACGGACAGAAATAATTTTACTTCTACTTAAAGCGTAATTTTTATATTTCCAAGGCTTGATTCAAAGCTTGCACTGGCAAAAATGAGGACAAATAGTGTGTTTGTGTTAATTATACATGTAGCTTACACTCAGTCACCAAAGCTTTTGGTGACAGTGACACTACTTGGTCAGACGCATCAGGGTAAGTATTTTTTTCTTGGTATTTACACGATTAAGGCTAAAGCTTGCAAGAGTCTCTCCTCCCAGCTCCCAAAAGATATGTGCAGAATATTCAAACACGTATTTAAATTATGTATTATTTAGTTCAAGGACTCCTGAGGTTTTTGTGATTATATTATACTCGCAATGCACCCTCATCCATAACCAGCTCCCTTAGCTGCTAATACTGTACAAACAATGAATAATAGTTACTAAAAGCAACATTACTTCCTTATGACTTTGAGAACAGGTTCCCAAGCTCAGCAGAGTTTGAAGAGACTAAGCCACACTTACCATTAAATTGCAACAAAAGATTAGCTTTGTCTTTTACTGTTATTTTTACACAATGAGAGAAACCAAGTAAGAGATACTTGTATTGTCAGACACTTCACAATATTTTGTTTTCTCTTTATCAATATAAATAGCCGTGATAACATATTCAGATTGTCTACATTGTTTTCTGCCCACTCAAATTTCCCACTCAAAATCACCACGTGTATTTGGAATCTCATCAACAAACTGTTATACCAAAAGGCTGTGATCTTGTAGAGACCTGCAGCCGCAGTTAAGGTTAAATAAATCTATTGACTTCACTTCAATAGTGAAGTTATTCACGTAAGAGTCACAGGGCTGGAAGAGACTGCAGGAGACTACGCAGAACATCTGTCTGCTTCAACACAGTGTCTGCTGCACCTGTGTCATTCCTGACATGAGGTTTGCTGAACCTCTTCAAAAGATCTAGATGCTGCAGATTCCACAACATCCACAGACAATCTATCCCAGCATTTCACTGTAACTATGGTTCAAAAGATTCTTCCATGTATTTAAAAAACCCAAATATTCCCTGTGGTAACTTAGGGCTGTTACTTCTTTCCCCATCCAAGATAAGACACACAGGACAGATTATTGCCTTCCTCTTTGTACATTGTTTGCATACTACAAAATTGTAACCCTGTGCCGCCTTCTGACCACCAGCTTCTCTCACTTAAGATGAGCTGCATTCATTCCCATCCCCATTCTTGTAAGTGATGTCTCCAGATGATCTACACTTTTGAAGAGTCAGACCAAAAACAGAATTTCAGAATTCCTGAACTATAACTCAAATTTCCAATAGCATTATGATTTTTTTTTTTCCTTCAAAATCTGCTTTCTAAGATATATCATCCTCCAAGTTCACCATGCACTCTCTTGGAAGAAAACCACAAATTAGTAAACTATTTGATTGTCAAAACTTCATTTAGTAGTAGATGCCAAGATTCACTTTCTCCTTGGAATATTTAAATATCTACATTTATTACAACTCCAGGATTGTGTCCCTCTGGCTCGACGGCACTAAGCAGCACAGCCTGGAGTAGTTAACTAACAGCATTTGCTTGTTGATGTGCAAAACAAGTATAAAACCAGAAATCTTATTAAAAAAGACCCACCTGTGAAGGTGTCTGTCACCAATATTGACTAGTTAGCTCTGCCAGCCTAACGCGTATTAGATGCCTAGTTTTTAAATGGTTAGGCATTAAGTGAAGTGAATCCAGTCTCAAGTAATTGTAAAGGCAAGACAGAATGGCACATTTTATAGCACTGAACATTTTACACAACTACACTTGACACACTCCTCTGCCATCTGGAAGAAGATCTAAGGTGATTCTCTTTCCAAACACAAATCGCAGGAGCACAAGCCATCATTCTTTTCACTGTCATAGTACCATTGACGTTTTCTGCAATAAAGTGACTGACAGAAATACGAGCTTGAGGCACGGGAAGAATGCCATTCATGTTTAGATTGATTTGTCCCAATACCAACTATTTATCTCCAATCTATTTCAGACTTACAGTTTTCTTTACTGAGGGGCAAAAGCCCTTTCATATACAAAGGTAACCCTCTTCCCAGCTAAAGACAAGTACTAAACAACAGTGTTACTTCGTGAACGGAAATTCATTTCACTGCAGAACAAGGATACTGGAAGTGTCCATGGTCAATAAGAATGAGGCCTGGATAGAGCAGTATACAGAGAGCACTGGAAACCTGGAAAGAAGGATCAAAATAAGAGAGGGGGAAATAATTACTTCTAAGTTAGACATTAGACAGAGGAACTTATACTACTTCTCCAGTACAAAAATTTGCCCCTCCATGGTGCATCTTATATATAGGAATCTTCTTCTCTACAAGCAATCTTCTGTAAGTAATATTTTGAGGAATAAAAAAGGATAAAGATTTTCCATAAATAAGAAAATATTGAACGGAGACCAGCCTGCTCTTTGCCAACCAGCTCAAAGATCACCCACGCCCATCTTAAACATTGGAACCACTCCAAAGATCAGAAGACTTATTATTCCAAAATGTATTGGTTCTACCATCAAGAGTGTGCAAGACAAAGCAGATCCTAGATTCCCCCATGTCACAGCACGAATCTTCTTTTTACTACCCAAGTAATAAATTCAGAAAGAAATATAATTCAGGAGTTCATAACTACTAAACTTCAGAGCATCTTATTATTGTTATTGAAAGCACTAAAATAATTGCCGTAAGATAAGTTAATGTCGTCTTTTTTTTCTTTTTAACTGAAAAGCCTTCAATACGAGATATACTGATTGTCATCAGTTTTTCATCAATTGAAGCCATCACCATGTTCTATGTTTTAATTAACTCTCATTTCTACCCTGTTTTAACAATATGTTTTCTTTGTTTTTTAATTTACACACACCAGATACTTGCCTTCTTTTTAGCAGATGTTTCTTTCAAGGAAAAACAATATAAAATAACTGCAGGAATATAAACCAGCAAATCAGCAACAAACACTGAAAAATAAAGATTAACTTTACATTAGAATCCTCCCACACAGCTCATCTTAATGCTATTCAAGTTGTGTATTTTCATCTGAATTGTGAATCTTTGACTCTGCTTCTTAATGCTCCACATCTTGGTTGTATTTGGGGTAAAAAAAACTCAGATGATAACAACTACACAGTGTTGGAGTGAGACTAGTTGCCTACCTTTTGAATGTGGGGTTTGCATCTGTATCCTCACTGAAAATTTCACTTTAGTCATTCAATTCAACAGAAGATCAGAAGTCATGTGATTATAGTTTCAGCTGAATATGTTTTTCTATTGTCTTACATTGCATTACAGTATGTTTCATTGTTTTAAAGATAGCTCAGGTTTGGCAGTTACACCAAAGCTAATTTTTTCCAATTGTTTTGGGAAAGACAAGGAGAAAATATAGGCAAATAAACATTTAAATATCAGAAAGTTCTTCATTAGAATGAACTGGGTAGTTCCACTTCAAAGGACAAAAAGGTCTACAGAATTTGATCTTGCTAATGTTTCTAACGCTATCATTTCTGATGTCCAAAAGCTGCTGCTTCCATGTGTTCAGCTGTTTTGGCTTCTGGCACAGCCTCAGTCAATAAGGGAGCACACTCTAGTTCCTCACATGCCAAAACGAGAGAAGGCATTCTTAATTCTCAAAAGAAATCAACTATGACTAGATCCAGTCAAGTTGTTTGATGGAACAGATAGTCTGGAGACACAATTAAGAAGCTCTAGATTATAGCAATCTCCAGTGTATCTGTGTGAATTACTAGTAATGTTGATAAATAGACTAAAACTATTTTTCTGGCTTTGATCATCTGCCTACAGCAAATATATGTAAGAGGATCGACAAGAAAACAGAACCAGCAGGTTCACCTGCCTAGAATTGTGTCAACTCCTGCTCATGCTTAAACCACCAGATGAATTCTTCTTGTGTGTTGTCTTAAGAGCCTGAGAAAAATCTCAGGTTATTTCAATAAACCAGTTTCAGGAAACGTGCAATTATTCCAAGAGGGAAAGTATGCTTTGCCTCTTTTTAGTCACAGGCTTTGGAAGAAAAGGTTTAAAGATATCAGTTATTCAGTGATGAATTGTTTTGCAGGATTAAGCCACAATTAAACAAAGACACCCAAAACGTTAGCAAAACAAATACACTGACGCCTAAAATAAAGGTGTAATACCAACAGCTGACATTGACCATTCTGAATTATTTTAATGCATTCTTCTAATGGCTATTGTTAAAAGTGTTTATCAGTTCTCCTAGATCCATCAGTGGTTTGTCAAGTGAGTTGATTTCAAAATTAATAAAGACCATTTCAAGGGTAATTAAGTTCTAGTGATTTTTTTTTTTTTCAATTCAATCAATTACTAGAGACCAGACTGAGAGGTTTGTGAAGTACAGACAAGCTATTGATGAACAACAAATTCTGCTGTTGCAATCAGAAAGCATTTTGTGGAACTCTAGTGTTACGCAAAGCAAAAAAACAGATTTAAAATGAAAGAAAATAGTAACAAGATAATATGGCATCTGCCGTTGCTTAGAGAACAAGAGCTCACTGGCCACATTGTTTGCTGTCCTACTGATACAGCTACTGAATTAAGTTATCTACAAATTTCTTTCTGCACCTGTTTTATCCTTTTCTTTGTAGAGGTAGTTCAAAATAATCAAATGGTCAGAAGAGTGACTGCAGGAAAATGAAATTTAATATAAAAGTGGTAAAATACGTTTTTACTTTTTTGTTAACAGAAGTTTATCTCTAGGAAGTGGTGACCATTTGAAAGAAAAGTGACATCATCTTTAAAAATATCAAATATCTCTCCCTTTCAGATAAAGTATACAGCTCATAATAAAGATCTCTGAGACTTCAAGAGGCTATTAAGTCAGTGAATGCCAGTCTACATGCAAAATAATTTTACAATAAAAACGAAGCTAAGCTGAAAATGAAAAGTGTCTTTGTCAGAATGGAAGGGAAAACAACAATACTATTTTCAAAATTGAAAAAGGTGTCTATGCTAAAAGAAAATAGCTTTGTTTTAGAGTTTTTACTGAATCAATTGGGTTGAAAACTTGTTTGTATATTTTATATTGATCAGCTTCACAAATGATGGCAGACAAGAAAAGAACACAGGAGTTTGGTTCATAAACGGACCTACAAAGCCACCCAAGTCAAAGAGCTGAGAATAAACTGGTGAAGACAGAGAAGCTGCATGATATTAAACATGCTAAATTAGTAAGCAAGACAAATATGTATGATCATCCTAAAGAAATGTAATTTTCCTACCTGTTGCACGCATAAATAACTTATGTGGCTGACTCTCATACCCCCGAGATGTATGCAGAGCAATCCAATCAGGATTTATTAACTTTGCACTGTAAAACAAAGTACAGACACATCAAAATGTAGACAGTTCTCATTTCCCTTTACACTCCTTTCAGCAATAAAGATGACACGCACAGGAGCATATTCCAAGAATTAAGATGAATGAGAAGAAATATTTCAAAGAGCAATAGTGATCAATGAAAGATTTTTCTCACCACTAGATCAGTTTACACTACAGACTTTAGCTACTATTTCACAATTAAAAAAAAATCTTTGAAAACAGTAAAAATGGAATACAGTATTTATTAGGACAAGCTAACCACCTTCAGTCTAGTTCCACTGACTTTTAAAAAAACAATTGTAAATACTTTTCATACTTAAGTATTAAATATAAACCATTTACAGTTCACATAGATGCCCCACATAACTGTGCCTGTGCACTTTAACCTACATTCTTATTCCATAAGTCTCATTCCAATGGCAGTAAAGCCCTTGTGGAAAAAGTATTCCAATAACAGAATTCTATTTACATGATATCCAGTCATCAAATGTCACTTGGGCTCTCAATACACGAGAGCTTTCCCATGCGATGCACCCAATTCCTACAGCAATTTTCTCTGTGCATCACTGATCCAACAGCGGCTTGTATGGAAAGCTAAATATCTAAGTCGCATCTAAATCTGCTAAAATTTACAGACCTGGCAAAAAGCAGAACGTAACCCTTCAGTCCCCCTTGCAATAATTACAAGACAGAAAAATAGCAGTATTAGTTTTAAGCAATAGGGATACATTTAAAATCTACTTCCCCAGCTTTAAAGTAGCAAACTATACCTTCCATTTCATCAGCTCCCCAGATTGGTAGTTTTAGCTACCAGTTTTTCTCCTCAGGAGAGAAAGAAAGAAAGAAAGAAAGAAAGAAAAAAAAAAAAAAGAAGGGAGAAGAAAAGGAAAAAAAAAAAGGTGAATTTGATGTTTTGTATTCTCCACAAAAAAGTATTTAAAATAATGAACTTACATGTAAGCACATACAAAACTGTGATAGGCAGTAAGAGGTGGATAATCAAGGCCCCAGTACAGTAAGTTGTTATCACTTGTATTGAAGTACCTAAAAAAAAAAAAAATTAAAGAAGGATCTACTTTTCCAGCTTTGTTTCAGCCCAAGGAAAAGGCTGAATATTAAACCAAATATTTTTATTAATGTATTCAAAATCCAATATAGAAGTTAGCAACTTCTATATCCGCTTTACTTCACACAAAAAAAATCTCAAGCAACAGAACAAAAGTGATTCAGACTACACTCGTGTTTGCAAAACAGATTAAAAAAAAGCTGCTAAAGCTTACTTACCTGAAGAGGGAAAATCCTTGATGTGAATAGAGTTTGACAAAAATCCAGAAACTAAGACAAAGCCTGCACAAAAATAGTTGTACACATCTACTGTAGCTCTAAACTTGTTTATGTGGTAGGCTTTGCAGATCCTCACCTCCATCTACAAACCAAAACTACATTTTTCATGCATGTCAATTATTCTAGAAAACAGCACTCAATTTGCCAAAAATGAAATAAAACCAATGCAGTTAAAAGGAAATTTTGAAAGAAATGGAATTCACCAGTGATTTTTTCCTTCTATTAATCCTAGATTCCTTTTTTTCTGGACTTGGATAGCACATTTAATATGTGACAATGACTTCTGAATAGTTAAATTTTATCTGCTACTCTTTTAGACTGTAATGTAGCAAAGTTGTGAACTGCTTCTACTCAACAGACCTTAACATGAAAATTCTGAAAAATCATCAGTTGAAGTTATACTGCTGGAAAGCAACTGAAGTGGAAAAGGGTGACATAAAGATATTACAACACAGACAAACAAAAAGTAGCATAGGTCTGGAAGAAAACTATGCCACAGCAGGTGCACCTAGGCACTTCTGTCAGCACAAATGTAGGAGTCAGGGGGCTAAAAAGTTCCTTAGAAGGCAACACCAAGTTATCAGAGTAGCACCTCCTGAATAACCAACAGAAGGTCATGAACCTCAATCAGATACGTCAGCCACAACCACTTTACCTAGTTCTACCTCAAAACTCAGGCAGACCACATGAGAGAACAGAAAAGGATTTTCCCATTTGTAATTATCTCGTGTCAGTATTTCTGTGGAATGGTGGCAGCAGTTAAAATTAAGTCACCTCTTCCAAATGAGAAACAGAATATATATTTCCTTATATCCAAGGAAAACAGAAGTTACAAAAATAAGGCATCAGACCCTTCACATCTTACAGTGAAACAGATTGACTAGTCTACTCTAACTGCCAGGGGCAAGCTCTTGGCTTTTCCAGTTTCTCTCTTCAAATGCAGCCAATTTTTGACATTTATTATAGTAAATTATATTTCTTGAATTCCTTATGAGCTGCCTGAAGTATCTTAGGAACTGATGATAAATCATATTTTTTTGAGTTGCATCTCTGCTTCTTATCCTACGATTCAAGATTGCTCATGCCAAGGCAGTTCAGATTCTTCATGCAGATTGTAATAGTCTGCAACTTAGTAATAAACATCACAGTTTTGTTTAGTTTTTTTTTTTTGTTTTACCTTCCATAAACTTATAGTTTCAACAGAAAAAGCAATCCCTGTACTCAGTAATATTTAGCAAAAAAGCATTCAGTTTTAATTAGCAGTATAATAAGAAAGCATATTCTTAAAGTAGCCTTTAATAAATAATGTCAAGGCTCTAAAGAATAATATAAAAAAGAAACATTTAAATTCTGACCTCTGGATCAGAGAAATCTCACACAAGGAAACAAACCATACTGTACTTTACCGCAGCATTTTTTTTAAATAAATCTTTGTTTTGGATCAAAGAAAACAAGCATGAAATACACAGCTGCATTACCTATACATGCCTGTTTAACAGTAAACGTGACAATTAAGTCTGTGAAAAGATCAAGAGATCTTATAGGACTATGTCCTCACGAGAGAGTTACTCTCTATATTCACCTAGAGAAATTTACAGAAGAATACATGCTTGCTGCATAGACAGCTTTTCTAAATACTAAACAAGTAACAGCACTAGAAGTTATTAGAATCTCAACTTCAAATCTGAACACTATTTTTACATACCGGAGTATAAAGTCTTTTCACACTGCCTATTTCTATAATACAGGAGGGGAAAGACAGCTTAGTATTCTAGAATGTAATCCCTTGCATGTCAGCCAAGATGTTCTTTTCTAAATGCCCAAGACTGAATATGACTTTGCTGTACTAGAGATTCAATTCCCAAAGCAGACCCAATCCAAAAAACTTCTGTTAAAAATAAAACGAAGAGCAAATACAACACGACTGAGATGCCCAACTGGCAGCCCATAGGCTAAACCCAGCCTGCAATACAGTTTCATCTGGCCCCTGGGAATGCCTAGAAATAACGACTGCAATAACTCTTAATTTTAAGTACATATAGTTCTGTGTAGCAGAGTGGATCAAAGCTGCCAACTCTATTAGTATGTCAGCTCTCCATTATCCCAACTCTGGCACAATGAGGGGTTTGGATATCCCAGAAACACGCGAGAGAAATTATAATATAGATACAATGGGATGATCTGAAGTCACAATACAGAGTCATCTGCAGAGTTCCACAGAGTGCCACACTTTCAGAATTGGCCCCGCATATATTTACAGAAATACAATTGAATTAATGTTCTATTCTGTCATATCGGTTGGTTCCCCAAATGATAGCCGAGGAAAAAATTACACCAGACAAACACAATGTCACTATCGCTGTTGGAAGATGACCTGGAGTTCCAATGCATTCCAATTTGTGTTGTAGCATATAAATGGACTAAATAATTTTTACTGTTCCATGCAAGCTCTAAGGAATATTAGGAATAATGTAAAAATAAATATTTGGAGTAATTTTCCTACTGTTTTAAGTGATCTGAACAAGTTAACTTCACCATCCTTACATCTAGATTCCAGGCACCCACATTTTAAAATCTCTATTAAGAACGTGGGTGAGAACAATGAACTCGCAGGTGTAAAAAATGATCAGTGCCTCCAGCACAAGAATTTGAGGCTCTGCATTTACTGGCATGCTGCCGCCTTTTAGCCTAGGGAAGATGAGCAGAGTTCAGTTTGGTTTTCTCAGTGCTGATAATCATGAAAGTTTTTGTGCATTAGAGAACTGGAACTCAGGAAGTTGAACTGATTTTTTTTTCAAAGCCAGGAGAACAAGCTTCTCTATGATCTCTTACATAAACCTGCTAAAAAATTGCTTCTTGATCTTTCCAGCCAGTTCAAAACAAAGCTGGAGCTTCACAACAGAGACCTACCAGTCAGAATATTTTGTTATAGAAGTTCATAGCTAGCAAGTCAAAGTTCCAAATTTAAGCTGTTATTCTTTTTTGTGAAGAAAATGGTACCTCAGTCTAAGAAAGGGGTGGTATTACTACAAAAGTGGTTTTAGAACAGTTCAGAGAACAGTAGATGTTACAGAGATCTTAAACTTGAAGGTGTATTAAAGTAAGATATGAACCAAAGTTTAATTACATTTAGCCCTTTGTAACCTGAACTACAATAGCACTACGTACCACTGCCTGATGGGCAAATTGTAAGTAACTTCTTGCCAGTGTCTCTGAGCTTCATAGTCTCCATACATAGGCGGTTTTCCCGCACCTAGAAAGAGATGACAGAGTATTTAGGAATTTATTTGGCTTATGCAGATTGCTTTTCCTCCAGATATGTATTTGCATATTAATATATTACTAATTTTATTCTCCATTCCTCTATGATATTTGAGAACAAAATAGGGACCTCATCTGCTATGCAATCTAACAGGGAATCAAAAAAAAAGTTATGAGTTCTTTTGGCTTTCTGGATATTTCTGTGATAAGCATTTATCAAGATACTTCACTGTGAAGAACTGCTCCCTCATCTAACAAAAAAAAATCATTTCCAAGTGTAGATGAAAAATGTGGCACTTTCTCTGAAATAAGAAAATGTACATAATGAACATCTTATACTGATTTTGTGTGAACTACTCCGCTTCCTTAGTATATAATAATTGACAATGTTCTCACTTGTGTTTCAGCCGTATCGTGGTACCTTGCTATTAAAAGTAACAACCAGCTTTGTTTTTAAATTTACTTGGAACTAGGACCTGCTGCAAGTCCCTCAGTTCCTCTCCCTTTCCTCTGTTGCCTCCTTTGCAACACCAGCAAGAATACTGCATCTGTCCCTTTCCCCATGATTCTTAATAAAGAGTTAAGATGAGCCATTTACTAAATGAGGCCTTTCAGTACACAGAATAGGTTTAGAAGAATTTTTTCTTACAATCTACAAAGCTTTCTAAATAATAACTGCTTCATTTTGGTTTACAGAAATTCTCTCTCACACATTTTTCAACTGAGTGATTGTTATGTAGCAGTTCTGCAAAGTGAATTATGTTAAAGGACACTTTTCACACATGCATGCATAAGTCTCTCAGGAAACTAAGATTTTCTTTTTTCCACAGCAAAAAGCTTTATCAATGCAAATACTTCAGATGTCTACTCATAAACAATTCCCTCAACGTAAGCCTAACTCTGATAACGGCAGTATGTTAAGCATCTTTATCACAGAGTTTATTTACTTTATTAACCTGTGCTTATTGAGAACAGAAACTGGACTGATAGTACTTCCAGCAAAATATTGACGCTAGCCAGACAGAGATTTAAGAGTTTCTTTAAAATATAGGAAAGCCATCTATATTTTTTTCACATGATCTATGTTTGTGGGAGTCACACAAGCTCAGAAGAAATGAATTGGCTTCAGAATGATCAAAAGAGATCTTAATCCAAAGGTTCAATTACTAAAAGCTTAGTAACTTAGTTTGAGTATGCATATTTAGCTTCCATCTACAGCAAGCATCAAGTATACAGCCAAAGAGAACTCAGAATTTATAAAAATGGAGTATTTTATTTTAAAAGGGTCATGAATACTTTACATTTAGAGTAGCCTTGTTCGGTTTTATTTTTACCCTTTTTAAGGGTCTGAAGCTGACTTTCAACATGGATATTTAGCTTCTATTCATTTAGTAGGAGTTTGGCAATCCATTAAAAAAAATTATGCATTGATCTATGAAGCCAAATTTTTCCTCAGTAATTCTCCAAGCCCAACTAATCTAAGGTCATCGTAAACAGCAACCTTTCAAAACTAGGTATTAGTTATCTGCTTTCTCACCATCATGACCCTAATTCCAGAGGCAGATCTAAAAGCACACTAGACAGCAGGCAACAGAATGGAAATGATACAACAAATCAACACTATACAGTAAAAGAGGGCAGAATTAACCTCCATGCTTCTGGCCATCCATGCCACGCATGGTTTCAGTATGCCGAATCAGCATTTCTACCAGAGTCTGCTTCAGAGAATGAGTACTTCTAATCCTTTGCTCAATTTTATTGCATTGAGCAGCAGTGAAAGCAAAACAGGACCACATCAGTTTAAACATTACCGTCCCCAATTTTTTTTTCTTGCTCCTGTCATTAAAGGTTTATTACATCTGAAGGAAATCAAAGAGAAAAAAAAAAAAATTCTGGTGTACTTATGCATTTGACAGCTCTTTCTAACATTCAGGTTTGTCTTTTTTTTTTTTTATTTTCAGCCAGCCAGTGCTCAAAGTTAAGCACATGCTTTAATAACTTGCTGGACTGGATCAGACTCAGCTTTTCCTATTCCAAAAGAAGTTCTATGATCGTTCTGTTAACTGTTATTTTAGTTCAGGCATTATTTTAAGACTCTCAGAATCTTGATTGGTTTGAAATTAGATCAACTTAAAAAAATCTAGTTAGCAATGTAATTGTAAATACTTGCAGTGCAACAGAAATTTAGTGCTGTGTGGCAAAAGACAGGGTGTTTGTTTTTCTGCATATAAATGGGTAGGAGAGAGCTTCAGTTACCTACAGAACAGATCTCACAATGGCATTTTCAGAAAGCAAACTCAAAATAAAACAACTGCGTAAGAAGGTATGCATGCAACTTATCTTCAAGCAAATTCCTTCAAGTAAACAAAACCCCGAAGTTACCAGTTTAAAATCACCAGAATACTACTGAACAGTTCCAGCTACCCAGGGATGAGACTCCCAATTGCCTTAACAGAAAACCAGAGTTGAATTTGACTGAGCTTGTGATTCTTTTAGCTGACGGGGACTGAAAGCGATGGGTTTTTTTTTTATTTTATTTTTTTTTATTTGCAGAGAGCAAGCTTATGCTAAGTGTAGGAGAGTGTGGCATCGAGAGGTTTGGAAAAAACTTGCTAGTTCTTTGCAAGCTTTATGAGATGGAGAGGAGAAAAACTCATCTATTAAAAGAATATAGCTCTAGTTCATGCTGTAAACAATCTTAAGGAAGTATAGCTACAAGGCAGAGTGTAATTGCTCACATCACCTTTACACCGTCTTCATTATCACCAGTACAGTTTTATCTAAATATAAATTAAGCCTATATCTGCTATAGAATTTAAAGGACAAGATTAAACAAATGTACAACTGAACTGCAATAATATTCTGCAGCTATTGAAACAACAAAGGCATAGGGGTGAACAACCAGCTGTTCTTCGGCTCCTCCTAAAACATTACTGACTGTCAACCCCCTGCAAAAAAAAAAAAAAAAAAAAAAAAAAAAGTGGGGGGTTTTTTTTGGTGTTTTTTTTTACACAGGGGTTGGTGT